GCCGTTATTGACTAGAACCTGCCTTACCCTACAGAGTTCTTCGTCGACTTGCTTCCATTCTGAGCTGTGGCTGAGAGCACGGTCGACGTATGCGTTAACAACACTCCTCTTGTACCTGTCAGGGCAGTCGCTGTTGGCATTTAGGCACATTCCTATGTTTGTTTCCTTTGTGTAGACTGCAGTGTGGAAACCTCCGCCCTTTTCCATGACTGTTACATCTAGAAAAGGCAGCTTCCCATCCTTTTCCGTCTCGTAAGTGAAACGCAGCACGGAACTCTGCTCAAATGCCTCCTTCAGCTCCTGCAGATGTCTGACATCAGGTACCTGTGTAAAAATGTCGTCAACATACCTGCAGTATATGGCCGGTTTCAAGTTCATGTCGACTAAGACTTTTTGCTCGATGGTACCCATGTAGAAGTTTGCAAACAGGACACCTAGGGGAGAACCCATGGCGACCCCATCTACTTGCTTATACATGTGCCCATCCGGGCTCAAGAAGGGTGCCTCTTTAGTACAAGCTTGGAGTAGTTTCCTCAGAATACTTTCTGGCATGTCAAGAGGAGTACAGGCTGGATCACGATACACTCTGTCGGCTATCATTCCGATTGTCTCGTCCACAGGTACGTTGGTAAACAGCGATTCTACGTCCAACGAGGCTCTTATCCCTGTGGCCCGTGCGCCCCGCAGTAAGTCCACAAATTCCTTTGGAGACTTCAGGCTGAAGGCGCAAGGAACATAAGGAGTCAGCAGGCCGTTGAGTCGCTTCGCCAATCTGTACGTGGGTGTGGGTATCTGGCTAATGATTGGCCGAAGTGGGTTTCCAGGCTTGTGCGTCTTGACATTTCCATACGCATATCCAGGTTTATATTCCCCAATGATCTTTGGCAGGTGGAGTCCGGATTTCTTGGCGTTCACAGTTTCGATCAGTTTGTTGACCTTTGCTTTTAATTCGGCTGTAGTGTCCTTCGTTACCCTTTGGAACTTAGTTTGGTCAGAGAGTATGATGTTCATTTTCGCCAGATATTCGTCTTTTTTAAGAATGACATATATTGGCGACTTGTCACCTCTCCTGACAACTATCTCCTTGTTCTCACGAAGGCTTTTAGCTGCCGCTCTAAGCTCGGGGGACAGTATGGTGCTTCTGTAGTTGCCTCGATTCTTTCCTCCTTCCGCAATAAGTTCTGCTTGTAAGGTATCTTTGGTAGTGACCTTCTTTTGTGTCTCGAGGTCGAATATGTCGTCCGATACACCTCGCCTTCCGAAAACCTCGCATACAGGGACAATCGCATTCCGAGGTACCACTGTATATATATATATATATATATATATATATATATATATATATATATATATATATATATTATATATATATATATATATATACAGTGGTACCTCGGAATGCGATTGTCCCTGTATGCGAGGTTTTCGGAAGGCGAGGTGTATTTACTCCAAAAATTTGTCTCGGAAGCCGATGGTTACTTCGGGAGGCGAGTTTGGACGCGAGTTTGTTGATACGCGTACAGCCGACCTAGCGCGTTTGTCGCCCCTCCGCCCCTCAGTTTATTATTGTCTCGCACTCAGTGACTACCCCCACATCAATTCTTCTCGCGGATTTTCAGTGTTTTGTTGGATTTTTGGTGATTTGTCTATACAATTTGTTATTATATATCTCACCATGGGTCCCAAGAAAGCCAGTGGTAAGGATAAAGGCCAGAAAGCTCATGTGAGGATGACAATAGAGGAGAAACAAGAGATCATTCGGAAGCATGAGAACGGTACACGTGTTGTTGAACTTTGTAGGCAGTACAACAAAGCCACATCAACAATATGCACTATACTTAAGAAGAAAAATAAGATTATGGGTGCTAAAGTGGCAAAAGGAGTAAGAACATTAACGGCACAAAGACCACAAATACTTGAAGAAGTGGAAAAGTTGTTATTAATTTGGATACACGACAAGGAGTTGAGGGGTGATAGTGTTTCGGAGGCCATTATTTGTGAGAAAGCCAGGGTGTTGCACGAAGACCTTCTAAAGAATACCCCTGCAACGAGTGATGCAGATAAGAAAGAGTTTAAGGCAAGCAGGGGCTGGTTTGAAAAATTTAGAAAGAGAAGTGGTATCCATAGTGTTACAAGGCATGGGGTTATGTGATGTGATTATGGAAGGGGACTCCCCTTCCAAACAGTAACTCCTCTTCTCCTCCCCCCTCCTCACCATCTTCCATACGCCTACAGCACTCGACAGCAAGGTAAGTAATAACTGGAACACAGTTTTGTAGGTTTATTTAGATGAATTAGGTAAATTAGGTATAAAAATTTAGTTTGATGTGGGGTTTTTGGGGTAGTCAGGAACGGATTAATTCATTTCCCTTTATTTCTTATGGGGAAATTAACTTCGGAATGCGAGTTTTCGGAAGGCGAGGCGTCTCCAGGAACGGATTAAACTCTTATTCTGAGGTATGCCTGTATATATATATATATATATATATATATATATATATATATATATATATATATATATATATATATATATATATATATATATATATATATATATATATATATATATATTATTATTAAATATGACCGAAAAAGTAAGATTAATAATTCTAACACGAATTTTCTCAATCTTTCGTACATTTCTTTTCACTGTTGGTGGTAATTCAAAAATCAATTCTCCAAATTTCATTTTTATTTCTAGTCTGACGCGACACTTGAGCGCGTTTCGTAAAACTTATTACATTTTCAAAGACTTTAGTTACACATACACAACTGAATAGAACTTACACATCTCCGATTTGTTTATATCTACATTTGAGTGAGGTGGATGGGGTGAGGTGGTATTTAATAGGGTATTAAATTCATCAACACAAGACAGAACACGAAACAATGGTTATTGAATAGAAGTGATTGTAGAAAGCCTATTGGTCCATATTTCTTGATGCTTCTATATTGGAGCGGAGTCTTGAGGTGGGTAGAATATAGTTGTGCATTAATTGGCTGTTGATTGCTGGTGTTGACTTTTTAATGTGTAGTGCCTCGCAAACGTCAAGCCGTCTGCTATCGCTGTATCTATCAATGATTTCTGTGTTGTTTACTAGGATTTCTCTGGCGATGGTTTGGTTGTGGGAAGAGATTATATGTTCCTTAATGGAGCCCTGTTGCTTATGCATCGTTAAACGCCTAGAAAGAGATGTTGTTGTCTTGCCTATATACTGGGTTTTTTGGAGCTTACAATCCCCAAGAGGGCATTTGAAGGCATAGACGACGTTGGTCTCTTTTAAAGCGTTCTGCTTTGTGTCTGGAGAGTTTCTCATGAGTAGGCTGGCCGTATTTCTGGTTTTATAGTAAATCGTCAGAAGTCATCTACTCTTGTACCCACCTGTGAGTTTAAAAAAAAAAAAAAAAGGAAACCAAAAAGTAAATGTTGTAATTGGAGATAATAAATAACAATAACATGGGGAAAATTAGTAACCCAACCCACACATATCAAAATAAAGTAAATTTATGAGCTTTCCTGTCTTTACTTGTAATTGTACCTTACAAAGGAACTTTATCAATGTGGCCACAGTGCAATGGGTATTACATTTTCTGACAAACAAGTCACAATGAGTATATAAAAACAAAATTAAAATCATCCTTATAACAGACAAGAATACAATTACAGTGACATGTCGGCTTACGAATGCCCCTATTTACGAACTTTTTGAGTTAGTTCGTAACTACACTCTGGTAATTACAGATTCCCTTCCTGTAACTACACTCAGGTAATTACAGGCTCCCCTCCTGTCACTACAGGCAGGAAATTGCACGCTCCCATCCTGTAACTACAGGATGTAATTACAGGCTTCTCCTGTTACTACCCTCAGGTAATTACAGGCTCCCCTCCTGTAACTACCCTCAGGTAATTACAGGCTCCCCTCCTGTAACTACCCTCAGGTAATTACAGGCTCCCCTCCTGTAACTACCCTCAGGTAATTACAGGCTCCCCTCCTGTAACCACCCTCAGTAATTACAGGCTCCCTTCCTGTAACTACCCTCAGGTAACTACAGGCTCCCTTACTGTAACTACTCAGGTAACTACAGGCTCCCCTCCTGTAACCACCCTCAGGAATTACAGGCTCCATTCCTGTAACTACCCTCAGGTACTTACAGGCTCCCCCTCCTGTAATTACACTCAGGTAAATACAGGCTCCCCTCCTGTAACTACACTCAGGTAATTACAGGCTCCCATCCTGTAACTACCCTCAGGTAATTACAGGCTCCCTTCCTGTAACTACACTCATGTAATTACAGGCTCCCCTCCTGTAACTACTCAGGTAATTACAGGCTCCCCTCCTGTAACTACTCAGGTAATTACAGGCTCCCCTCCTGTAACTACACTCAGGTAATTACAGGCTCCAATCCTGTAACTACACTCAGGTAATTACAGGCTCCCCTCCTGTAACTACACTCAGGTAATTACAGGCTCCCGTCCTGTAACTACACTCAGGTAACTACAGGCTCCCGTCCTGTAACTACAGGCTGCCGTCCTGTAACTACAGGCTCCCCTCCTGTAACTACAGGCTGCCGTCCTGTAACTACAGGCTTCCCTCCTGTAACTACAGGCTGCCGTCCTGTAACTACAGGCTGCCGTCCTGTAACTACAGGCTGCCGTCCTGTAACTACAGGCTGCCGTCCTGTAACTACAGGCTTCCCTCCTGTAACTACAGGCTGCTGTTATGTAACTACAGGCTTCCCTCCTGTAACTACAGGCTTCCCTCCTGTAACTACAGGCTTCCCTCCTGTAACTACAGGCTGCCGTCCTGTAACTACAGGCTGCCGTCCTGTAACTACAGGCTGCCGTCCTGTAACCACACACCAAGTACAGCCTGGTGCAGTAACAACAATAAACCCCCGGCCTCCCCCCTACACATGTGCCCTTCACAGCCCCGCCATCCCGCCAGCTGGCGCCCCTCAACAAGCCGCGGGAGGGGCACAAGGGACACTATAACCTTCACCTCTATGGCCATGAGCCGGACATTATGGCCTCCTGTGCCGGGTAATTGTGCCGAGCGTAGCAGACGAATATTTGTGATGGAGGCGGCCATGGTGAGTGAGGTCACGTGACCGGCGGCGACCAATGGCGTGTCCGGGAGGCGGCCGCTGGGGCGCCGCCTCCACCCCGGTCACTACACTCTTGTAAAGACATGTAAACTAAGGCCTTTCTCGTTTATTGCGTGGTACAGCGAGCTGGTTGTAATTTATCATTAGTTTGCGGGTTGAAAGTTGGTTTGTGGGTGGCGCGTGTGGGGCGAGAGGTGGGTGGGGAGGTTTGGGGTAAAAGACGGCTTTTGACAGCGGAGGTGAGAGCATTGTTGGAACGTATCTCGTTTCCTATCCGCCATTATTGTGAGATCCATGGAGTGATTGTGGTTATCTGGTGGTTATAAGTGATTAATCCATAGTGTGTGGATTGATACCAATCCAAGTGTAGTGTCAAAAATGGATATATGATGTCGACGCACTCTCAGACGAACGGGGCAAGCTTAGAAGATTGCCACACCAATTTCTTCGCCCTGGTAAGTACCGAGTTTGAATGAAAGTAGCCAACTGTTGTTGTAATATCTGCCTTGTTTCTCCTATTCCCACCCTTGCTTCCGAGTGTGGCGTATAGCCACGGGGTAGTCTGTGGCGCGGGCCAGCGCTCGCGGCGCTCAAATACCCAATCTTCTGAGAAATTCCATGTCAAAGGTGGTGAAAATGGTGTATGTGTCAGGTTCAGAGGAGACTCGCCTCGCCGTTCGCCTGCCCTACATTGTAACATTGGCGCTAGTTAGCTGGAAATAGCGAGGAGAGGCCTCTTTTCCCCACTCCCGCCTCCGTACCCTCAATCCCAGCCCCTACGGCCACTTAACAGCCCCACAGAGAGCATCACAATTGGCCAAAGTCGAATTGGTGTTGTGGAGGTGTCAGGTCGTTAAGAGTGAGACTCGTGTGCTCTGAGTTCGGCGGAGTAATGGGGGGAGGGGGGTAGGGGTTCTGGAGGCCGGGGGGGACCTCTAGGTGAAATCTAGTCGAGGGTTGTATAGTTTTTATATACAATGTGTATGTATGAGTCGAGTAATACAGCTGGTAATTGCCCCAAGTGTGTGGGGGGGAGAGTAGGCAGGTTCTCTAGGCTTAGTCGACAGGCCTAAGGGTTCAACTTTTTTTTTTTTTACAGCATTGCAGCCTGGTTATATATATATATTTTTTGTGCATATGTGTATGGTGTTTACAGCTTTAGTGTTTAAATTTTTAGGTTGGATAAGGTGATTTAGGGTAATGATGGGGGAATTGGTTAGCCTAGAGGTTGGGAGTGTTGGTTAGGCACCGCTGGGCCCCGGCAGCCTCCTTGCTGCGATGGAGACACCACACTTCCTATACCTAAGGCAGCTTATCAATGGGTTTTAAGGCCTACTGGACCAACCAAACCTGGCTCAGCCTAGCCCAGCCAGGTCTAGCTTAGCCTATCCCAGCCAGGCTCAGCTCAGCTCAGCCTAGCCTAACCTGGCTGGGCATAGCCTAACCCAGCCCACACCTTCCCAGCATAGCCCAATTTAAGCTAATGTTATATACATACAGTTGTAATAAATATAAAACATTTTTGTTGTTTTAGATTTAGCTGCTCGGAATGAAATGTCCCGTGTAGCAGTGGCTATAGTGAGTCTGTAAGAAACATTTTGGTGACACCCCTGTGTATTTAACTGCCCCCCCCCCCCCCCCCACCCTTGGGGTGAAGGAATGTGGGGTATAGTGACCTGCCTCCCTCATGCTGCTGTGGTGAGGAAATGGGCTTCCATACCAAGTCCTCACCATACCTGCAAGCCTGCTGCTGGTATGGTGAGGGAATGTGGAGACTGGTGATTTTCCATCCCAAGCCCCTCACTACTCTCCCTCCCTGCTGCTGGTATGGTGAGGGAGACTGGTGATTTTCCATCCCAAGCCCTCACTACTCTCCCTTCCTAGTGCTGGTATGGTGAGGGAATGTGGAGACTGGTGATTTTCCATCCCAAGCCCTCACTACTCTCCCTCCCTGCTGCTGGTATGGTGAGGGAATGTGGGGACTGATAATTTTCCATCCCAAGCCCTCACTACTCTCCCTCCCTGCTGCTGGTATGGTGAGGGAATGTGGGGAGTGGTGATTTTCCATCCCAAGCCCTCGCTACCCTTCCTCCCTAGTGCTGGTATGGTGAGGGAATGTGGGGAGTGGTGATTTTCCATCCCAAGCCCTCACTATTTTCCATCCCAAGCCCTCGCTACTCTCCCTCCCTGCTGCTGGTATGGTGAGGGCATGTGGGGAGTGGTGATCACTATAATCCTCACCACTCAGTCATCCAGCTGCTGTGTGGAGGTAGTGTGGGGAGTAGTGATCATCGTCCCAAGGCATCACCAGCCTCCCGTGTTACTCTGTACACATACAAACTTTTACCTACACATGTCCCGACATGATTCAACTCCTCACTCATGAATATATTTATTTATTCATATGCCTTCGTAACTTACGTTACACCACAGTGTTTGGCCTTGCGAGCGAGGCGTTACATCTTAAGTGATGCAGCTCAATGCCGTAATGATCCTTCATGTTAGGCTTAATATTAGGTGTAAAGACCAAATTGTAGTATTGGGTGGTGCCATAGGAGCATGATGTAAGCCTGCGTTGAACTGACTCACTACTAGACTGGGGCTGTGATCTTCCTCTCTCATGACCATCCCATTGTAGACATAAACTAAATCCAGGAAGGCCGTTTATAACCTGTCTAGTTTAGAAAGGATATGTAAAATTTACATTTATCGTAGTGGTCGATCCAAGGCATTTTCCCCCACAATAGACTAGGCTAATGCTCGATCGGTCGATGCAAGTCATCTGATCCCTCTGAAGATTGGCTCAACATTTGCAGCTCCACGATTAAACTCCAATATAGTGAGCATTTTGACTTGCCAGTTACTCATTTACTTGTTATTCAGTCGTTTGAATTTACATTTTGGAGTAATGCACTAAGATATGGTATAAAAGGTCCCCGAGAGGCAGGCCCAATTGACAACTATTTTCCCGTGTATCCAGGCCTACCTTGAGGCCTAGGTTAACCTATCTGACAAAGTTAACCTAAGTGCTGGTTCTAAATAAATGTTTTGGTGTTCAAGTTCAAGTATGTTTATTGAAACAAGAATGAATACATCTCAAAAGGATAGAGTAGCTTAGGCTATTTTTATCCTCCTTTTGGTGTTGACATTCTTGCAGAACTAACCTCCAGGAATCCAACCCAGTAAACTCCTTATTAATGTTGTTGTTAGTGTGATGGAGAGAAATGAAAAATGCATGTAATAGGGAGGGACTAAATAAGACATGTAATGCGGGGGGGTCGCACATTTATACACCTAGAATGATTACATTAAACATGTATGTTTAAAAATGCCAGTCATCCCATCAACGTAAGGTCTGCATTACCGATCGATAGGCCTTTCTTAACAGAGCTGTTAGTCTCTTTGAGCCGTTTAAATTTATGTGAATGTGTTCGTAATAGATTTGACGCAAAACAAGTGTTAAAATGTTAGGGTACATTGTAGGCCTATGATGCATAAGAATCTGGATTGAATTAGTGCCGTAGCCTATCACGTTAAGTAATGGTGAGTAGATCATTAGGTAGTCGGGTCCTATGACACAAATACTGAGTAGATTAGTTAATTGTCGAAATGAATGAAAACATTAAAGTATTTCAAGTAATAATATACATTAGAGACAACCTGTGAGTAATCACTGTGTGGGGGGGGGGGGGGGACACCAGCCCGTTCACTGCATTTTCCACTCCTTAAAAATTCAACTATTTTCCCTAGCTAGAAAAATACGAATCCAGGCAACCTATAGAAAACGTCATTTATTACGGTGCTTTAATGGTTTAATAATACGTTGAATTTTAATTGGTTGGCCGATTCAGTTTTATATGCGACCCATTAGCAGAGTGGACACTGATAGTCTTCCCAGCTTGGCGCCTTAGGTGGGTGGACGGACTAGGGACACCCACCTTTGGCTAGCAGCAGGGAGATGCTGCGAAATGTTGTGTCCCGTTTTGTTTAAAGTAACTAATTATCAAAGAAGGCACCAAGCCGGGAAAGCTACGTAACAGTCTGGTACACACAACACGCGCCGGACCCGTCAAACAAAGATATTGTCAATATAATCTGTATAGGATGTCGTATAGTTACTTTTTCAGGGATTTAATTGATATTGCAGAGAATGTCACAACGTGGCGGGAAACATTCCACACGTGACACTATATGAGCAACAACGAAACGTCAGTTTCATTTATTTTCATGTGCGTTGATTGGGTTATGTAATTGTTAAAGTCTGTTGGGGTGGATAGGCAAGCTAGCCTCTAGTACTGTAGATAAACTCGATAAACTCTGTAGATAAACTTCACTACTGTTCAACGTCCTCCCAGCGAGCGCAAGAAATATTGCCGGAACAACCGTGGACATCTTCAAGAGGAAACTAGATTGTTTTCTTCAAGGAATGCCGGACCAACCGGGCTGTGGTGGGTATGTGGGCCTGCGGGCCGCTCCAAGCAACAGCCTGGTGAGTCAAGCCTGGCTTCGGGCCGGGCTTGGGGAGTAGAACAACTCCCAGAACCCCATCCAGCAGGTAGGCCTGTGTTATGTTGTAGTTGTGTAAGTTGAACGTGTTATGAAGGATAAAACCTAGCTTATCGGTTATTATAGTTGCAATATAACCCCGTTGTCGGGGATAGGAACCCTGTACTGAGGCTTATATCGGGGTCCTGCAAGATAGAATGCACTGTTGACCTTCCGCAGGATGCAACCCCCAACTTTTGCCTAACTCCCGGGTACTTGATTACTGCTAGGTGGACAGTGACATCAGGTGAACGGAAATATCTGCAATCGTCTGTCCTTCCCGGAGATCGAACTCAGGATCCCGTATTGTGAATCGAGAGTGTAGACCACTGTACTGCAGGCAAGTTGAACATTGTATCATTGAAACCTGGAGAGGGTTTCAGGACTTATTCTCTCCAAGCCCGGCCCGGGACCAGGCACGATTGGTGAAAACTTGGTCCAACAGGCTGTTACTTAGTGCTGCCTGTAGGCTCACATATCCACTACAATGAACAAATCCACAAGGGCCGTTGTGTATCACGCTATTGTGATGTCTGTGTATCCACTACAATGGTTGGTCCGTCACTAGCAAGAACCTGTCGCATTCATCTGTTAATTATTGAGACGCTGAAGAATCCCGCGCATTCATCACTCGTCATGAGCGTTCTGTCCGCAGTAGGAGGCCAAGCTATATGAAGTATGGGGGTTAAATAAAATCATAACCTAAACACACAAATAAACCATAATTAATTATTTAAAGTAAGATCTAATTATGGAGACGAGGAGTCACAATAACGTGGCTGTAGACACGATGACCAGACCACACACCAGAAGATAAGAGACGACCACGTTTCGGTCCGTCGTGGACCGAAACGTGGATTGTGATGGGGACGAGGGCGGCTCTCTCTTCTCTCCCGTCACAATCGACTCG